CGGGCCGCGGCTCCTCCTCGCCATGGGAGACGTGCTATCCACACACCTGGATGACGCTCGGCGCCAGCACATCTCAGGTGAGGACCGCGCAGCGCCAGCCTGGGCTTCCGCCGGGCACCCCCCGGGCCACGCCCCCGGCCTTGTAGGGCGGGGGGGGACCCCGAGAGTCTAGGGGACCCGGGGGTGGGGCGGGAGTTGGCTAGAACGGTGCTCCCCTCCGAGTCTGGGCACCCCTTCCTGGCCCTTCTGTGTCCTCCCTCCCCCGTCTACTGGAGACTTGGAACCCCTCCACTTTTCCCTGCTGCAGCCCTCCCGGGAGCCCAGTCCGGCCAGATCCCGGATCTTTACCCAAGATTGCGCGGCTTCGGGGTCGCACCCCCATCCTTACAAGCCCACCCTTTACTCCCTCTGGAATCCGCCCCGCACAGGCATAGCTTCCTGACCTCCCCTCTAGCTGTCCTGTCTCCAGCTCGCTCTGGCTGCAGCCCCGGTACACGTGGCCGAAGCTTCTAGGAAGGGCCTTTGTAGGACTTGGGACTGAACTCGGAGAGTGGGGCTAGGGAGAGATGGGATGCCTTGGAGGGGGCGGGTCTCTGTCCTTCGGCTCCCACTCAGCAGAATGCTGGCAGTACCGCCTAGGCCTGGTCATACATGGTCACAGCTGACCCCCTCAGGGCCAGGATCCAGCCTCCTACTACCTTCCTTCAGCCAGCCCGGCTTTCAGCCTGTCAGTCTGCATGGTGGATAGTTCTCAGGAGGGAATTGTTCCGAAGACTGTAGGGAAGTTCGTTCTGGAGAGTGGGAGATGGGGTGGGAATTTCAGCAGGTTGTCCCACAGTTCAGTTTGGACTGTCCATACAGGCAGGTTCGAGGAAGGTAGCCCTGGGTGAAATCTCAGCTTTTTATTTTTTTCTTTGCCCAGGCAGGTGATCTTGGACCAGTCTCTTAATGTCCAAGGGCTTCAGTGTTGTCTTTGAAAGGGTATCAGTACAGCTTTCTCACTGATGGTTGTTTCTCACTGATGGTGAGACTCACTCACCTCTTGAGTCTTGCTTAGCAAAGATCCTGGCATAGAGGAGGCACTGATCTGTGGGGTGCCAGCCAGGTGGGTGTATCGGGAGATCATGGACAGGAGATAGTTTCCCTGGCCTCATTTGTTTCCCTGTCCACTGAGCTAGAGTGTGGTGTTGCCTACACTTATCTTGATGTCCTGTTGAGTGTTTAGCTATACTCCCCTTGATAGTAAGGACCCTGTGAAAGAGAGGACCAGGTGTCTTTTACCCCCCACCGTGGCTCTGCTCTTGTTGGGGAAGGTGCTGGAAAAGAACTGCCCAGTGACTGGTCCTGAGCTGGTGACCTGAGCTCCCCTTTGTACCAGTTCTGGGGTGAGGTACAGGTACAGGGTGATTTAGAAACAAATGAGACCATCTTTAGCCTCTGACCAGCTGTGGGTTAAGTCCTGGACGGCCTCCTTGTAGGACAAGGCCTGGAGTCTGGGAGGAAGGGCTGGGCGGAGTCTTCCTGTCCCCTCCCTGTTAGTGGCAACCTCCTGGGGCTCTGTAACAGTCTCTCCATTCAGAGCCTCCTGTTGGGGCTCTCTGCAAGCCTGGGTGGGGTGTGACCTGTTTCTGTGGGGTTTTTCCTTTCCCTATACTCAGATCTCTCACCTTCCCAAATCTTGGTCTGAGACCCCACCCCCCCCTCTGCTGTTCATTTACCCTGGTGGAGACTGAGCCAGGGAGGGTAAAGTGGCCCCTTCTGGAGAGAGCTGAGTTTGTTTTGTGGATACCAGGCTGGGGAGAAGAGGGTTGTACCCACTCAGAACCTGCTGGCCTCTCCTCCCAACACTTCAGGGCTCTTAATAACTCCCTTCAGATGCCTCAGATTCCATGGCAGTCTCACCTGAGGGGGCTCCCGAATGCAGAAGCGGGAGGCTGCAAGGAGGGGAATCCAAAAGCTCCAGAGAAGCCACAGAAGGAATCTGTTGGAGGGAAATGGGGTTGAGTCTTTGCCACCTCCGGCCAACCATTCACTTTCTTCACCCCACCCAGGGAGTACTGCAGTGCTAGCATAGCAGGGGACTAAAATTCCAGAGCCCTCCCTACCTGTTGAAGTGTCAGCTGTGGGAACACCCCTTCCCACAGGGCCCTGAGCGCCCAGGCCTGTTAGGGTGCTGCGCATTGGCCAGTAGCCTTGTACCCTCCCGGAGCAGGTGAGCAGGTGAGTATCAGCCTGCAAGTCCCGGCAAAGGTCAGGCGTGCTCCTACCCTGGGTACTGTTTTGCTGCCCCGGCACCTTTCATCCTGAGATTTCAAAGCCTCTGGCAAGCAGAGGCTTGTTCCACCCCAGTGTTCCTGGTGTTGATTAGCCGGGTGGTTCCCGCCCATTTAGTGAGGAAAGATGGCCGAGAACCTGGAAGCCTGTGTCACTTCCCTGGGTCTCAGTTTCCCTAGCTGTCAACAGAAGGGGGTGTGCCACGTGGTGGCTGAAGTCCCTTCTAGCTGTGAGGTCCTGAATACTAAAATTTCCCCACAACCCTGACGGCAGCCAGCTCAAGGCCCTCACCCAGACTACACAAGTGTCAGCTGGCTGACCCTGGGCCAGTAGCTCCAGCTCACTTTTTTTCCTTTCCTTTCCTTTTCTTCTTTTTTAAAAAAAAAAATATTTATTTTTATTTTTTATGTGTACGAGTATATTGCCTGCACGTGTCTAAGTGCACTCGTGTTGTGCAGTGCCATAGGATAGAAGAAGGCATTGGATTCCCTGGAACTCGAGTTATAATTGTTAGCTGCCATGTGGGTGCTGGGAATCAAACCCAGGTCCTCTACAAGGACAGCTGGTGCTCTTAACTCCTGAATCATCTCTCCAGCCCCTTCTTTTTTTGTAAGCCCTTTACCACTGAGCTACATTATAAGTTCATTCATATATGTGTGTGTATATATATTTGGGGGGGTGGGGTTAAGACAAGGTCTCCCTACAGCCCCAGCTGTCCTGGAACTTAGTATGTAGACCAGGCTGGCCTTGATCTCACAGAGATCTCCCTGCCTCTGCCTCCAGAACACTGAGATTAAAGATGTGTGCCACCATACCCTGCCTATTATATATATACATATAATTTTGAGACAGAGTTTCACTGAGTTGCCCAGGCTGACTTGAACTCACTTTGTAGTCCAGGCTTGCCTCGAATTTGAGATGTTCTTGCCTCTCAACCTCCTGACTATCTGGGATTACTGGCCTGGTCCACTAGGCCCTTATCCCTTCCCTTCCCCTCCCCTCCCTTCCCCTCTCCTCCCCTCCCTTCCTCCCCTTCCCTTCCTCCCCTTCCCTTCCCTTTCCTTCCCTTCCTTCCTTCCTTCCTTACTCCCCAAATCTGTTATCTGGGCTTCTAATAGCATTGACATTACCTAGGCAACTTGTTAGAAATCTCTCTCTCTCACTTTCTTTCTCAGTGCACCTGGGTTGTGCAATGCCCATGGAGGGGGCCAGAGGAGGAGGCCCTGGAACTGGAGTTACTGTGGATTGTTTGTTAGCCTCCATGTGGGTGCTGGGAAAGGAGCCATCTCTCCAGCCCCCACCCTCAGTTTTCTTATCAGTAAGATGGGAATAACAGTGTTAGCTGCCTGCCAGGTACCAGCAAATCATTGCTATTACTGAGACTCTTCTTGAGTTTCTATAGTTGGAGTCTGGTGAGCAAGGGGGGCCAGAGGAGGAGGCCCTGGAACTGGAGTTACTGTGGATTGTTTGTTAGCCTCCATGTGGGTGCTGGGAAAGGAGCCATCTCTCCAGCCCCCACCCTCAGTTTTCTTATCAGTAAGATGGGAATAACAGTGTTAGCTGCCTGCCAGGTACCAGCAAATCATTGCTATTACTGAGACTCTTCTTGAGTTTCTGTAGTTGGAGTCTGGTGAGCAAGGTGTTGAGGTTCAGAGAGCATGGGGCAGGGCAGCTGTCCTTTCTCTGACGTTTGTAGTATCCCTGGGTCAGGTGGCCAGTTTCCTCGATTTGAAGATCCACCAGGCTTTCCAGAAGCCTGATTACTGTGTTCCTATTGCTGTGGCAGTTACATGTGAGGGGTGTGGGCTGTCTGGAGCCAGTTTGGAGGTTAGTGATGGTCAAACCTGTAGGGTGTGTAGAAGGAGCTACAACAGGAGAGGTGGCTGGGGTATGCCAGACCATCCTTTCCCAGATGTGATCCAGAGGACAGGACTAAACAGGGAGGGTGTGTCTGGGATCTCATATGAGTTCTGAGCCCTTTGAGGGATTTTATGCAAATGGTCAAAGCCACAGAAATCGAGATGGTACAGGTGAGCAGACGGGGTGTGCAACAGGAGCAAGCTACTGGCTGGAATAGTAGTTTGGCTGTGGTGGGGGAATCCATTTTCTCCCATATATCCTCTAGGGATTCCACTATGGCAGTCTGCCCCCCACATGCCCCTGTGAAGGTGAGGATTTGTCCCCCAGAGGGCTGACTGGCTGTCCTAGCACCTGTGCTCCTGTGCTCTGCCCATCCCAACCTTACCCTGGGCTAGTTGTTTTGTAAAAATAGCGGCTTTCCTGAGATCCAGTTTATTCACTGTACCCATTCACCCACCAAAAATGTACAACTTAGTGGTTTTTAGTATGTTGACAGAGGTGCGCAACCATCTCCACACCCAATTTGAGAACACTTTCAGCTTCCTTGAAATAAACCCTGGACCCATCAGTAGCCACTCCTGATGACCCCCCCGCCCCCCAGTCCTCTCAACTCCAGACAACTTTTTTCTAAGTGCCAAAGCAATGTGTGCACAGACACTTTGGGAGGGGAAAGTATAAATAAAAACCAGAGCGACTTCCACTTTCCTCGTCTTCCATCTCCGGAAGAAATGTTTGGCTGGTCACCTCTTCCAACTGTGTACATGCTCCTCGGACTTTTGTTTATAAAGAAGGGATCCTATTGTCTGTTTCAGTACTTCGCTTTTGTACCTACGGTAAACTGTGGACATTGTTTTGTGTCTACTCCAGCCTGTCTTCTTCCACTGGAAGTTCCAGTCTCTGCCTGGGGCAGTGTATTTGCAGACCCTGGTAATGCTGTTTGGGT